ATTTGCACCAGAATGTTTATTGCAGCCCAATTCATAATTGCTAAGTCATGGAAAAAGTCCAAGTGCCCATCAAACCATGAATGGATTAATAAATTGTGGTATATGTACACTGTGGAATATTATGCAGCCTTTAAAAAAGATGGAGACTTTACTTCTTTCATGTTTACATGGATGGAGCTGGAACATATTCTTCTTAGCAAAATATCTCAAGAATGGAACAAAAAGTATCCAATGTACTCAGACCTACTATGAAACCAACTTATAGCTTATAACCCAACTATAGCACAAGAAGAAGGGGAAAGAGGAGAGGGAGGGGAAGGGGGGGAAGATGTGTGGATAGATGGTAATTGGTGGGAGCACACCTATGGTGCATTTTACAAGGGTACATGTTAAATTTATTAAGTGTAGAGTATAAATGTCTGAACACAATAAGAAAATGCACTGAAGGCTATGTTAACTAGTTTGATGAAAATATTTCAAATGGTATATAAAACCAGTACATTGTAGCCCCCTCCCCCCCCCAAAAAAAAGCACAGTACTGGCACAAAAATAGAGAGGTAGATGTATGGAACAGAATTGAGAACCAAGAGCTGAACCCAGACACTTATTGTCATTTGATCCTTGATAAGCCTATCAAAAATATACACTGGGGAAAAGATTCCGTATTTAACAAATGGTGCTAGGGGAATTGGCAGGCAACTTGTAGAAGACTGAAACGAGACCCATACCTTTCATCCCTAACAAAAGTTGACTCTCACTGGATAAAAAACTTAAATTTGAGACATGAAACTATAAATATTCTTCAAGCGGAGACAAGAGAATCACCTAAGCCCAGTTGCTGTGAGCTGTGTGACACCACGGCACTCTACCGAGGGTGATAAAGTGAGACTCTGTCTCTACAAAAAAAAAAAAAAAAGGATTGGATTCCTGGAAATGGGATACTTTAAGGGAGAACATTTCTAGTATGTTCTGTCAAGTCATCTACATCGTTTGTGGTCTCATTCAGGAAGCTTCAC